ATGGTCTAAATTATATATATAGTCAAGGCATGCAGCAATTAATTTAGCTATTAGCCGTTCTCTTATCAGGGCCCGAATACCAAACATCCTGGAGCCTACAAATTTGTCATTAGATGATGGCTTAACTTCCGTGCCTTGGTCTTTAGGGAAATCCTTAATTTGGGACTTCACATGCGTATCTTCTTCCCCAAAAAATTTAAATTCTAATCCGGAAGACATAGCCGAGAAAAAAAACAATGAAATATTCTAAATTCACAAATTATATTTTTACACCGATCGTTATCTCTTCCCTTGGACATATGCCAAGTGGAACTTTAAAGTTTTTAAAAATATAGGCGATAAGACAAGAGCCATTACATCAGAACCAGAAGAATTCTATTTTCTAACAAACCTACAAATCACTATTTTAAAATATAATTATACTCATGTTTTTTTGGGAACTTGTAGTCCCACCTCCGTTTTTATAAAATATTGTTTTATCTTATTTTATATTTGATATGTTAATTTTAATTTTATTTGAACTTAGATAAATATTCAACATCATCAATTTTTTTATATATTTTTTTTTATATCAGATTGTGACATTTTAAAATAATTTGTTACTTTTTTGACTCCGTGACAAAAGCTGTCATAAAATGATAAAATAACATTGAATTGTTAAAATCATTAAAAAGTGGACTTTAAATATGTGTTTAAAATATGAGAGCTGCAAATTAATTTGATTATAAGATATAGTGTTTCTATATTGGGATCTGAGGGGACTCCAGGAGGTCTCTCGCCGAATTTTTTCACCTATGCAACGAAGGGTTAAAGATCTATTGTTAGGCTATATAAACATTTAAATTATTACTCTTAACTTAATTATTACTTGAGATATTGTAAAATAAATGAAATGTAATTATTTTTGCCAAAAATGTAGCATTCTTTCCTCTGCAAACCCCCATTTATTAACAAGTAAGCAGTGTTGGTAGATTAAATTTCGTTTTTTATAAGATATAATATATGATTCAAAATTAACTTATATATATATATATATAAAGACCTCAGAAATACCAATTGCACGGCCTGGTCCGGATTTGTAAAATAATTTTTTGGCCCAGTCCTTATTTCTTATGTTTCGGCCCGGTTCGAATGTTCAAAATTTTTTTCGATAAAATGATCTTGAAATGTGTAATACTTTTTAAATTTACTATATATATAATCTCTATTTAAAATATCCCGTCTAGTTCGGGTATATAGGGAAATTTTTTTTAGCCCGGCCCGAATATTAAAATAAATAAACCCGGCCCGGGCTTATTTGGAAAAAATATTTATGGCTTGGCCCATATGCTCGGGCCTACAGATCTCTATCAGAGATCTGCAGAGGTACCATTTGTACAGCCCGGCTCAGATTGAAAAATTTTCAGCCCGGTCCGGCCCGGATTTTAAAAAAAAAATTTTTGAAGGCCTGGCCCGGCTCGGAATTTTTTTAAATTATATTCGACCTGGTATATACAAAAAATTCATTATTTCGTATTTTATCATATTTTTCGGCGAGTATTATCATTTAATAAGCAAGTATATTTTTATTCTAAACATATATTTAGTATATTACAAATTGATACTTATATATTAACGGAAGGCTTAAAAAAAAACAAAAAAATAATTAAATTTTTATTTTATTTTTTATTAATACTAATCCTATATATATATATGTTAGCGGCAATGTGAGGTAGTGGTAGGTAGGGAGGGTTTTTAATTTGTTACCATATATTTTTTAATATATATTTTTTTTAAATATATTTTTTAATATATATTTTTTTTAAATATATTTTTTAATATATATTTTTTTTAAATATATATTTTTTTTAAATATATATTTTTGATCGCTAATTTTTTTTATTTTTTGTGTTATATGATTTTTTTAATATATTTTTTTGATTGATATTTTTTTTCTTGATATATCTTTTGATCGCTAATTTTTTTATTTAAGAAATTTTTTAAAATATATTTTTGATATTTTTATAAAAATATATTTTTGATATTTTTATAATAATATATTTTTTTTTTCTTGATATTTGATCGTTAATTTTTTTTATTTTTTGTGTTATATGTTTTTTTAATAAATTTTTTTAAATATATATTTTTTTTGTGTTATATGATTTTTTTAATAAATTTTTTTAAATATTATCCAAGGCCTTCATTTCTCGAAAAAAACTTAGATAAACTTAGAATGTTTGGTGTATAATCTTAGTAATTGTTTAAAATAAATATAAACATGAGGGCTAACTTTGAAAATGCTAAAATTAATTTAGTAATTATATTTATTTTCGAAAAGTTATTTAATACTTTGATAGATTTAAATTTCAATAGTACTCTAACTTGTAATTTCAGATCGTTCACTAAAGTGAATAAATATTTAAAATGTATTTACTCACAGAATTGAAATAAATAAGTCAAAGATATTATATTTAGTTGATATACAAATAACCGATGCAGGATTCTATATTTAAATATATTTCGTAGTTAACATTTTAGGAAAAAATAAATTAATCTTACAATTATTTTAATCTTATATCGGCCTACTATTATAAATTATGTTAAAAAAACATTTCCGGATGCTATGAAGATTAAAGTTTAATCATAATAGTGGAATTTATTATCATTTGAAGTGATAAATATATTATTAATAAAATATTGAATTTAATCAAATCAAGGAATGACGATTTGCAGGAAAATATCTCATCATTAATTTTGAATATATAAATAAAAGCGAATTTAGGAATTTTATTGTTGATATTACTGTTAGTGACTTAAATATAAAACATATCTAAACTGAAATTTTAATTTAACGTTTACAAAACATATTTTTACCTATTTACCTTAAAAAAACTCAAAAAAGTTTAAAAATAACGATTATGACAATTGTCACCATAGTACACTTTCACTGAAATATTAATTTAACATGTTTACAAAACATATTTTACCCATTTACTTTAAAAAAACTTAAAAAAGTTCAAAAATAACGATTATGACAATTGTCACTTTTCCATAGTACACTTTCACTGAAATATTAATTTAACATGTTTACAAAACATATTTTTACCCAAATACTTTAAAAAAAGTTTAAAAATTACGATTATGACAATTGTCACTTTTCCATAGTACACTTTCATTGAAATATTAATTTAACATGTTTACTAAACATATTCTTACCCATTTACTTTAAAAAAACTTAAAAAGATTCAAAAATAACGATTATGACAATTGTCACTTTTCTATAATACACTTTCACTGAAATATTAATTTAACATGTTTACAAAACATTTATTTACCCATTTACTTTAAAAAATCTCAAAAAAGTTCAAAAATAACGATCATGACAATTGTCTCATTCCCATAGTACACTTTCACTGAAATATTAATTTAACATGTTTACAAAACATATTTTTACTCATTTACTTTAAAAAATCTAACATATTTTTACCCATTTACTTTAAAAAAACTCAAAAAAGTTTAAAAATAACTATTATGACAATTGTCACTTTTCTATAGTACACTTTCACTGAAATATTAATTTAACATATTTACAAAACATATTTTTATCTATTTGTTTTAAAAAATCTGAAAAAGTTCAAAAATAACGATTATGACATTTGTCACGATTACCTAAAAAATTATCTATCAAAAGATATATAATAGATAAAACTACGTAAAATATAAATATATAATAATCATTTTAAAAATATATATTAAAAAATATCAATCAAAAAAATATATTTAAAAAAATATATTAAAAAATATCAATCAAAGATATATATTTAAAAAAATTTATTAAAAAAATATATAATACAAAAAATAAAAAAATTAGCGATCAAAAGATATATCAAGAAAAAAAATATCAATTAAAAAATTATATTTAAAAAAATTTATTAAAGAAATCATATAAAAAAATATCAATCAAAAAATATATTGTAACAAATTAAAATATATTTAAAAAAAAATATCAATCAAAAAATATATTGTAACAAATTAAAATATATTTAAAAAAATATATCAATCAAAAAAATATATTTAAAAAAATTTATTAAAGTAATAATAAATTAATCTCAAATAAATAATAAATTTAGCCTGATTTAACCCGACAATGTATAATATGCCGATATAACAAAATTACCCTACCTACCACTACCTCACATTGCCGAATATTTCACATTGCCGCTAACATATATATATACAATTTTAATTTACACTTTTTACATAAGTTTTTTAAAAGGTTAAATTTTAACAAATTCGTCCTTAAATTAAATTAACATTTACGAAAATTAGGAAAATATAAAAGGTCATTAAATAAATTTAAAAGAAAGAATTATTTAAAAAAGGTCATTAATTACAAAGTAAAAAATATATAAAGTTTATGCAAAATTTATATATTAACAGATACTGTAAAAAATTTGTGTAAATAATATTTTGAGAATATACTATGTATTTATAAAAAAATAAAAATGATATTTTAATTAATTAAAAATATACATATATTATATAATAATGTTACATATATTATATATTATATAATAATGTTAAATATATTATATATTATATAATAATGTTACATATATTATATATTATATAATAATGTATTTAATCCTTTGCTTATTTATTCCATGGCAGGAAAATTATAATTTTATTATGTAATAGATACTATGAGTCTTAGCTAGTGTTAACTTTCACCAAACATTATATCATAACTATATATAATCATTATAACCATATCTAATTGACGAATATAATAATTCATGTTGTATAAATTTTTTAAAAAAATACGGCCTGGCCCGGCCTGGGTATTTTTTAAAAAAAATTTTCAGGCCCGGCCCGGGTTTTTTTAAAAAAATTTTCAAGCCCGGCCCGGTCCGGGTATATTTTAAAAATTTAAAATACGGCCCGGGCCTACAGGTCTCTGATATATATATATAATTAATTATTATAATAAATTTTAAATATAATTTATATTTTCATTTCAGGTTAGATACCCGGACAATAAGCTGGAGTATCATAAAATATTTGATTCCAATGCTAAGCTAACGGAAACTGGTCGGTTCAAAATAGAGACTGATGTGCTTATTACATCAGAAAAATCTTGGACAGGTGTTATTTTATAAAAAATTTAAAGTGTTTTAAATCTGTTATTGATAAAAATAATTAATTGAAAGAAATGAATCTATAAATATTTTGTAGGGTCTACAAAGCCCACTAAAGTCAAAATGCAAATCAATAAATGCATTATTCACGATGTTTATTTGTACGTATCAAATATTTCATTGAATAGACATGGAAATAAATTAAAAAATAAAAATTTCACTAAAGACATTCATCCCTTATTTATAATTTGAATATTTACGAGTAAAGAAATCTTAGATATTTGCGAATTATTTTGAACAACACGGATTTTTTTTTATTCAATTTACTAATAAAACTGAGCTGACCATTTTTATATATAAGGATATAAGTTAATTGCACAGGGTAATTCCATACTATAGGGATAACTTTTCCCGACCTTTTTAATTTTGATAAAATTTTGCATACTGAGAGAACATCATTCAATTCGCGAAATCTAAATATAATAGTCCCAAATCCAAATACAGATGTCGGTTAAAATATTTTATTTATTCCTACCTCTTATCGCATATATATTCCAATTTACATTTATTTATTATATTCACAACAGAAATAAATAATCTACTTATTCTACCAATTAATATCGATTTCAAAATTCCTTGCCGTTATATTTATTTACCATTTTAAAATTTCCCACCGAATCATTTGAACCGAAAGTTAGTATTGTTAAATTTGAGCCGATTTTTTAAAACGGCGACTCCATATTTTAGACAGAAAAATTTCCTTAAACCTCGAGATTTCACTGATAGATGTTAAATTTTTGTACCATCTGAAAGTAAAATCCTCACTTGTGTATCTGGATAAAATATTGAGATAACCCTTTCTAAAAATCAGCTCAAATCAAGCCGTTTTGAAAGCATTATATTGGGATTTAGAAAAATTTTGGCAAATGTAGATGACGAATTTCATAAATTAAATGTCATTTTTGAGTGAAAAGCAAAGCTCTATGAATTTAATATGTCTTCCACGACTTGCATCAAGGCAATCCTTCCAACATTAATATAGGGCCAGTCGAAGAATACTATAAAATAAATCTTATTTATCTCCCTGGATACTTCTATACCTCAATTAATGAAATGTTCTTGATTAATCAGGAAGCACTTACAAATCTGCAAATGTTATTACCACTGAATCCTTCCGAATCTATTTTAAATCTTGATAGAGGAAGAATTAAATATTGGCAGATTTTATTGTGATGATGTTATAATATCCCTTGATGTATTACTAGCTAAATGCAGATGATATAAAAGGTTAAATATGGTTTATAATGTTCCAAAAAATGCTATAGATATTTCAAAAACATTCTTGACTATTTTCCTTTTATTTAAAAATTATTTAATATTTTGTTAATACCCGTTAGAATTTTTACCAATGATAGAACATTTTTTCTTTAATAAGCATAAAAACATACCGGAGGATTGAGTTGGCCATCTTTAAAAATCGTAACACTATTGAAGAATACTACCTCTGAAATTTGAATAGTTGTTAGCTTAAATTACATTTTGACACCAATCACTGATTAAATCATTGAAAAAATTAACTCAAAGAAGATTGAGTTTTACATCTATATTTATATTATACTTCTTAATTATATTATTTCCCCTTAATTCATATTGAAGCCAAACACTGATGAAATTTTACATTTATATATACTATACTTCTTATTTATATTATTTTCTATTTTTTAGTACACCATAATCCTTTTCATATACATGTAAAACAACATTTTTTAAAAATATAATTTAAACTTATATATCAAATTTTAAATCAAAATAATTTATATTTTTTTACAAAGATATAAACATTAAATATTTTATAGTTATTAGTCCTAATAATTTTTTGAAACTCTTACGTGAATTATTCAACTTAAATAACTTTAGAATTATTCAACTTAAATAACTTCTATAATTATTCAAATTTTTTTATTTATCCCCCCCCCTTCCCCATTGCGAATTTCTAATTATCGTTTTTTTGTTAAAAAGGTTTAGCAATTTATAGGTTATATTGCCTACAAATTTCTATATTCTATTGATTTTTTGATTTCAAGTTGCATTGCCTATGTATTTGTTAATAGTTTTATTAATTAATTTCATATTGAAATCACCATCAATAATAATGAAATGATTATTGTTGATATGTTTAAGATGATCATAAGTATGTTATATTTCTAGACTTTCAAAAGCCAAAAATAAATATTGCTATTTAATAAACTATAGAACTCTAATATTATTTCTAGCAAATTTTAAACACAAATTTTTAACACTAACTTACGGAATCGAAAGTTGTGACATTTCCAAGACCAACATAAAAAAATCACAAACCTTTATAAATAAATAAATACTTTAATTTAATAACCGATAATATAAAGTAATTAAAAATAAAATCTAACTGTGTATAAAATAACATATAGAATTAAGATTTATAAAGTATATTATAAATTTTAAAAATAACCTATTTCAAAAAAAGAAGTTAAAAAGAATACTGGTGACGGCTAGTATTGTTAAACGGCCCGATTTGAGGCGATTTTTACAGCGAAATCAATATTTTAGCCAGAAAAAATATTAAGCAAGCCTGAAGATTTTGTTCTAGATGGCACTAAGGTGTTAAAATTTATTCAAATCTCGAGGCTTGGGCAATATTTTGCTGGCTAAAATATCGAGTTAACTGTTTTTTAAATCGGGCGCAATCGAACCATTTCAACTATAGTGGCGGCCATGAATCTATAGATAATTTAGGGCTATCAAGATTGTTTTAGGGTTTTTTTGAGCCTCTTTCCCAAATGAGCAGTTTTCGAAACTACTATGGATATAAATATATTGTCGGCTATATGAGAATATGTGATTTGCTTTTTTTCTACTTTACCTTATAAAGCGTATAACCATTCGTGCTGAACTTTAAATACCAACTCATAATATTCAATATAAATCAATGGAACCTATATAATGCTCCCTTTATTAAACTACTTGCCTTTAGGAAATTAGAAATATTATGCCATACCCTTTGACATAATTATTCCAATACTATAACCACCAATGCTCTTAAATATAAATCCAGTAATAACAAAAGCAAAATAGAATATTACACATGTATTAAATTTATGTACGATCATGCGCTAAATATTTTAAGCAAACATAATGTTGATACGTCTTCATTAATATCTTTCAAAACAAAAATTATTTAAAAGAATGGCTCAAACAAGCAATACTAGAATTGATCAATTGTATTTCTTCCATCTTGTATTAATTAAATGTGTTTTTCATCCTTTTTAATTGACTTTATTTTTAATTTAAATAACACTTTTCTTATTGTGGAGCTTTCTCCTATGTGTTTGTTTTTTCTTTTTGATCTGGATTTTTATTTTTAATGAGTTCCTATATGTTCTATTCTAATATCCTATAGAGAGTTGTTTTACGTCATTGTCAGACCCTTAGCCCGGAATTTTCAGTTGGGTCGGGGTGCAATTGTTTATTTTGGAAGGCCAATATTTTTTTTGAAATAAAACAAATAGTTAGGCACTCTGAAATTTTTTGCTATTTTATATTAAAAATTTGTAAAAATAAATATACAAAATAATATAATACGATATTTTGATTTATAAATTTTAACAAAATGTATTAAAAGATAAATTTTGGGTTATTTTTTTTCATATTCTAAAATTAAAATTTGGTTTATATTAACTCTCTAAATAGCTGGATGTGCAACGTCAAAAATAAAACTACGTTATACTCAAATATTATGGGTAGAAATAAGCAAGGTTGACAAGTTGGTCAATTGACTGTTCAAATTCAGTCTAGTGTTATTAAAAAGTCGAGTTCTTACGACTTGCGGAGTCATAGTCGTAAAAAACGGCTCCGACTCAAGCCGATCAAGGAGCCGCATGAGCCGGCTCGTGTAAGTCGATTCGTTGGTGCGCTCAATTTTTTTGTTTTTTTTTATAAAATCTGGTGCTAAATTTTGGGTTACTGATTAATGTTAACAAAATTATAATAAGAATATTCATGTCGTAACTAAAAATGGCTCAGGACCCGAATTCGGCTTCAGGGATTATATACCTAAATTTATAACACAAAAATGTAAAAATATAATTTATATTGTAAATATGTTATATTAAAATTTTAGTGAAGATGTAGTGAAAATTGATTGTCATAATCGTGTTTTTAAAGTATTTAAAATTTTTTTGACGTAAATGGGCTAAAATAAGTATTGCTAATATTGTTATATTAAAATTTTAGTGAAGATGTAGTAAAAATTGATTGTCATAATCGTTGTTTTTAAAGCTTTTTTAATTTTTTTGAAGTAAATGGGCTAAAATAAGTATTGCTAACATGTTTAAATAAAATTTCAGTGAAGATGTACTCTAGATAAGTCAATTGTCATAATAGTTGTTTTTAATTTTTTTAACGTAAATGGGCTAAAATAAGTATTGCTAATAAATAAAATTTCAGTGAAGATGTATATACCCTAGATAAGTGACAAATGTCATAAAAGTTTTTTTTAATTTTTTTGACGTAAATGGGCTAAAATAAATACTGCTAACATGTTTAAATAAAATTTCAGTGAAGATGTACCCTAGATAAGTGACAATTGTCATAATCGTCTTTTTAAGATTTTTGAAATTTTTTGACGCAAGTGGGTAAAAATATATATTGTAAATATGTTATATTAATATTTTAGTAAAGATGTACCATAGGTAAGTAACAATTGTCATAATCGTTGTTTTTTAAATTTTTATGACGTAAATGGGCTGAAATAGATATTGCTAACATGTTAAAATAAAACTTCAATGAAGATGTACCCTAGATACAGGGTATCTCATTCAAAAAAGGAAAATCGTAATTTTTTTAAATTTTTCTTAAACTTTCATTTATTTTTGTTATTCCTTCTTAATTTCTTTCTAAATTTTTGCGATTTCTTTATATTTTTTTCTTACTGTATCTTTTCTCAATTTATTTCTACTTTTTTCGATTTTC